GGGAGGTGAGGCAGTGCAGCAGCCGTCTGAGCGCTCTCTATAGAGCGCTCAGGCGGCTGCAGAATTTAAAGGGCCGGCGATGGGGGCGCAGGGCGCCCCCTCCTATATGGCGCCCTAGGCGGCTGCCTAGTTCGCCTTATAGGAAGCGCCGGCCCTGGGTATAGTGACAGTAACAGAGGGATTGAGGGCCTGCTCACTGAGTTTACATGTTAGAGGGAGTGGGGTATAGTGACACAGTAACAGAGGGACTGAGGGCCCTGCTCAGTGAATTTACATGTTAGAGGGAGTGAGGTATAGTGACATAGGAACAGAGGGATTGAGGGTCCTGCTCAGTGAGTTTACATGTTAGAGGGAGTGGGGTATAGTGACATAGGAACAGAGGGATTGAGGGCCTGCTCAGTGAGTTTACATGTTAGAGGGAGTGGGGTATAGTGACAGTAACAGAGGGATTGAGGCCCCGCTCAGTGAGCTTACATGCTAGAGGGAGGGGGGTATAGTGACACAGTAACAGAGGGATTGAGGGCCCTGCTCAGTGAGCTTACATGTTAGAGGGAGTGGGGTATAGTGACACAGTAACAGAGGGATTGAGGGCTCTGCTCAATGAGTTTACATGTTAGAGGGAGTGGGGTATAGTGACACAGTAACAGAGGGATTGAGGGCCTGCTCAGTGAGTTTACATGTTAGAGGGAGTGGAGTATAGTGACACAGTAACAGAGGGATTGAGGGCCCTGCTCAGTGAGTTTACATGCTAGAGGGAGTGGGGTATAGTGACACAGTAACAGAGGGATTGAGGGTCCTGCTCAGTGAGTTTACATGTTAGAGGGAGTGGGGTATAGTGACACAGTAACAGAGGGATTGAGGGCCCTGCTCAGTGAGTTTACATGTTAGAGGGAGTTGGGGTATAGTGACACAGTAACAGAGGGATTGAGGGCCTGCTCAGTGAGTTTACATGTTAGAGGGAGTGGGGTATAGTGACACAGTAACAGAGGGATTGAGGGCCTGCTCAGTGAGTTTACATGTTAGAGGGAATGGGGTATAGTGACACAGTAACAGAGGGATTGAGGGCCTGCTCAGTGAGTTTACATGTTAGAGGGAGTGGGGTATAGTGACACAGTAACAGAGGGATTGAGGGCCCTGCTCAGTGAGTTTACATGTTAGAGGGAGTGGGGTATAGTGAAACAGTAACAGAGGGATTGAGGGCCCTGCTCAGTGAGTTTACATGTTAGAGGGAGTGGGGTATAGTGACACAGTAACAGAGGGATTGAGGGGCCTGCTCAGTGAGTTTACATGTTAGAGGGAGTGGGGTATAGTGACACAGTAACAGAGGGATTGAGGGCCCTGCTCAGTGAGTTTACATGTTAGAGGGAGTGGGGTATAGTGACACAGTAACAGAGGGATTGAGGGCCCTGCTCAGTGAGTTTACATGTTAGAGGGAGTGGGGTATAGTGACACAGTAACAGAGGGATTGAGGGCCTGCTCAGTGAGTTTACATGTTAGAGGGAGTGGGGTATAGTGACACAGTAACAGAGGGATTGAGGGCCTGCTCAGTGAGTTTACATGTTAGAGGGAGTGGGGTATAGTGACACAGTAACAGAGGGATTGAGGGCCTGCTCAGTGAGTTTACATGTTAGAGGGAGTGGGGTATAGTGACACAGTAACAGAGGGATTGAGGGCCCTGCTCAGTGAGTTTACATGTTAGAGGGAGTGGGGTATAGTGACACAGTAACAGAGGGATTGAGGGCCTGCTCAGTGAGGTTACATGTTAGAGGGAGTGGGGTATAGTGACACAAAAGGTAAGGGTAGGATAGGAAAGTTGGTTGCTAGGATCGTATTCACTGAGGGCTTATTGTTTTGTTTTGATGAGCGTTTCAGGAGAGGAATCAGGGTGCGGGGAGGGAAAGCTGTTCACAGTTTAATTGATATGCTTTCCTAAAGAAGTAAGTTTTCAAAGATTTTTTTGAAGTAGTGGCGATTGGATAAAAGTCTAACAGAGAGGGGAAGGGCATTCCATAGGAACGGTGCAGCCCTAGAGAAGTCTTTAAGGTGAGCATCAGAGGTAGGAGTACGGACAGAGGTTAGACATATGTATTGACTGTAGGGTGTCACACACACTGTTTACAGGGCTCTTGCAATCCTCTACAGGTAGATACATGGCCAAGGCTGCCTGAGGTTGATGAGAGTAACCATTCATAGGATAGATATGTTCCAAGCAGCCTCCTCATTTACTACACACAATAACGTGAGCTGCCCTTCTGCCACCCTTAGCTCTGTGTAAAAAAGATGCTGTCAATCAGCGATTAATGATGGGCACACCGCCTATGAGTTATTTAGCCCCTGTCTGTGCTGTACTGTGTCCAACCACCTCACATCACCACCGCCACCTCGCCAGGCACAGAAATGGTCTGTAGACAATCCTCTCCACTAAAAGGTTGGTATTTTTTTATTAAAACGGATGAAGAGAGACAAGAACCAGGGCACTGGGAGCTCCTGGTACCATAACCTATACATGACTAAGGCGCTTTTAAAAATATATCCATTTAAAACTAAATAAACTGCAGTTTTTTGCAGTGATCTGTTTTGTCTTCCAGGACCAGGACCTTGTCCAGATAGTGGCTGAGGTATCCCAGCCTACACTTGGTCTATCAGTAACAGCCAAGGAAGAGTTAATAAGTCTGTGTTTGTGTGTGATGTCACATATGATGCAAGATGATCTGGGCATGGTGTGACCCTTTCATTACTTCTTAAGAAACAGCTTTTTCATGTGAAAATTGTAAATCAAAGCGTCTCTGTCACCAACCTCAAAAATTAGCATTTCAGACAGATAAAATCTACATGAAAAACTCATATAGACTGTGTCAAAAGACATGATAAGACAAAGTAGAAACTACTTTGTCTTATATGTTTATCCTAAGCTTGACAGAAAAGCTGAGCTACTACTTTCAAACTTTTGTCAAGCCTACAGCCATCACTAGTGAAAAGGCTTTGTCTATGGAGGATCCCGCAGTATCACCTACTCCTTCGTAAACATCAGAATTGCGTGCGCGAGAGTACAGCACTGAAATGGTCTGAAGTTTACTGGCAGGATGGCGGCCATGAAGAACAGGTTCAGATAAGTTTACCACACCATTCCTTGCTCCCTCCCCCCAACCCTTGTGGCCAACTCACTGCAAAATATGCAAAGACCTCAGCAGGTGGCAAAGTCACCTTAACAAGCATTCCCTCCAACAAGGCTGCCAGTTGCACTTGGGGAGGGAATTACTGAAGAATTACATCAATATTTATTTAGAAGAAATTGAAAGACAACATATTTATACATTCACAAACAACATGCTCAAAGATATCGTCTATCCTCATTAGATTCAGAGCGTTCAAAAACATTTTGGCTTTTTTTGGGGAGCTAACAGATTCAAGCGGAAAACAGTTGTTTTCACACTATGTTCAAAGGCTTTGTGAAATATTCAGTATCTGTGACACAAAGACATCAAGGGCGGTTCACATCAGGGCAGATTCATAAACAAAGCTCAACAGTCACATTTCCAGTTAGACGTTAAAATCCCTTCGGAGGACGCCTGCTATTTGAAAGATCACAAACAGTTTATGGAACTTGGATTCAGGGTTGTGGGAACTCTAATGCCAAAAGTTCACAGGCCAAACCGGTGTCATCTGTCCAGCTGTGCTGTCTACTCTGACTATTCCAAAGAAGCCAAATGGCTGGACTTTCTCTCTCTGCAACCCACCCCCCCACCATCACCACCACTGCTCAGTAAAACCATGTCTATATAACCCTTTGAGAACCAGTAATGTCCCTTACAACCAGCAAAATCACTTTAATTCTATGTTATATAGCATTTAACAAAATTATAAACAGTAACAAATTGATAGATATGATGATAATGTGAGATTACAACAACTAAGCATTTGTTTAATTAATCTATTCCTTAATTGTTATGGTTCCGTCCATGAAACAGATTCCATATCACCAGAGGTTCTCTCTTCATCTCTTACACTGACCATTTCATATGTCTCTTCCTGGTCAATGGTCCTCTAGTTTCAAGCAACCCTAGTGCAGTCTTCATAAACCCTCGTTGTTTAAATCCAGGGACAGTCTACGTAGAGGACCCCTCAGTTATTAAACCTGTTTCGACCATCATACTTTGTCCTATGGACAGATCTGGAGACTGATTCAAGACAAAATGCCATATTTGTCAAGGCAGAAACAGGTGCCTTTTGGGGGCAGTCACCATGGGAACAAACAGACTGTTTTACAACATTTAGCTTTTTGTCCCAGGATTCCTGTTTTGTTTTGTAAATCTGGCTCTAAGTGTTTGTGGTTGGCCCTGGCAATAACTTGAACATCGGATAATCTGCTTCCTCTGTGCCAGATTGCCAACCATAGTCTTTATCTGATGATTACAACGTGTCTGCTTTACAAATGTAAGAAGTTCATTATCAAACTCACAAAATTTGCAAAACCACCCGTTGGAAACTGAAGAAAAAAAGTTAGTGGTTTTAACAATATAGAGTCGGGAATACCATGGGCTACTCCAAACGTCATGACCACTTCAGGGACTTAAAGTGGTCATGGTGCCTTGAGTCTGTATGCCCATTGTTTCGCTATGAAATGCTGCTCATATGGAGATTATCTCTCTGCTGCCGGAGGTTTAACGGCACCTCCCACAATCAGCAATCATTGGCTGGGAGTGGTGAGCGAATGCTCTCAGGCAATGAATGGCTGACAAGATTGAAATCTGGCTCTGCAGATACCAGATGAACGTCACGCTCACCCATAGACCCACCACCCAGCAGGACAAAGTAAGAGGGCAAAACCATTGCAAAACAGTTTGCCCCGGGAAACGAGCCAGGATTCTCCTGGTATCATAACCACTAGAGCAAGATTGCCTCAAAACCTTGTTATTTTATTAAAGTACAATAGGACTATCAGAATAAATCTGGGTGCGTACAATAAAGGCTTTGAGCTTCAGTCCCTGTGAACAACATTCAACATAAACATTTATTGTCATATCTTCAGTAACTTTGGTTTCCATAAAATTAACACAAAACTGTTTTGTGGTATAATTGGGTTTTTTTTTCTACAGAATGTGGAAATCTCTTTATTAAAAACAAACCCAAGAAGCATCCATCTACCAATTTACTCGTGATTTATTTCTTCTGTGATTGCATGTGCTAATATAATGATTAAATGGAAAAAGAACTGGGACTTGTCGGATAGTTGAGATATTAAAGACCACCAGACTTGCAAATAAAAGTTTTATTTCAGCCCAGAAATAAAATCTGATTTAATAACCTCCGGCTGGGGGAACGTTAGTGCATTATTTCACATTTCTTAAAAGAAATGGTAGCTCTAACAATAGATTCCCTTGAGCTAAAAAATAGGAAATATCAATTTAGAAATGAAAGCGATTACTAAAACATCTGGCTGATCAAACAATACTATGTTCAAACAAGCAGATTTTCATTATATGTTACTGCTCAACATGTTTGTAAATTCAGATTAAAAGTTTTTTTCCCCCAATTATTTAATGCACTGCACACGCTAACTTCTCTGGAAAACAACAATGTAGCTCTGTAGAATTATTTCTTTAAAGGAACAGGCTAGCTTTGGGCTCAGGTACAGTATTTTAAAGTATTAAATAGAAAAGCCATTCAAATGTGCAAAAGAAAATGGAAAACAACAAAATTCTCACCTTTGAATATTCCATGTTTCCCGTTAATCTTTATTATCTGCAATTTGCTGCTTTGAGTTTTTCCAGGAAGTATTTTTTACTAGGAAGCAGCTGTCAATCAAGCAAAGCTTTAGCAATGGTTTATGGCGTATGTAGTTAATATGTTGTAGCAGACACATTTTTCAATACATATGAGAGGAACTGCTGACATCAGATTACCAAAAGCTCATTATTATCATGTTTTTATGGCTGGAACTTAAGGTGTGACAGTGCAAACATACAACCTCATTGGCTATCATGGCTTGCTATCATCTTCCTCAACAAAATTGGAACATAAGTAGAGGTGTCAGGGTGTGTCTCTCCACCATATCTCAGCCCCAGATGTATCTATCACCTATTACCAGTTTTGGCTCTGCTCTGTACTCCAGTCCACCTTACTGTTGTGTATCATGCACTGTTCCCCTACCCCTCAGTTGTGTCTCTCCTCTCATCCCTTGTCTCCTAGGTGTTTCTCTCCCTGTTTCTCCTCTTTAACCCAGCCCTCCAGTTGTGTCTTCCACCTTTATTCCAGTCC